TTAGTCCAAGGGTATTTAGACTCAATAAGGGTAGTGAAGAATAGCATCTATTCTATAAGGGTATAGGAGGACATGGTCCTCCATTTAGGGTGGTTAGATCTGTAAATAAGAAATTTCATTAAGGGGTTTTGGGTCTTTAGCATTTATTTTGATTTTTACACACAAAATTTAAATCAAAAATATTTTTTTTTAACACAAGGTTATATCTGAATAGCATCTATGCTATAAGGGTATAGGAGGACATGGTCCAACAAATTGGCTTCTCTTGGAATGAAATTGAAAGAGACATCGATAAATTGAGCAGAAAACTTGGAGATATCATGAAGATTCCCATAGATTTCTGATAGATGTGGTCCAGTTGTAATAGCTTGGACGATTTGGTGCGAATCTGAGGCGATACTAAGCTTCGTGAAGCCTAGATCGATCGCTTGAGTGAGGGCCAATCGAATGGCTAGAGCCTCTGTCGTTAAGGCTGAATTCACAAAATTCATCGCTTTTGATCCCTGTATTATGATCTCCTTGTGGATAGTGTAACGGGAAAGCTAAGATAGGATAAATCCCAGTCTAGAAACTACCGAGAGTTCGAAGATAGGGTAAATCAATGTCTAGAAGTTGATCGTATAACCAGAAAGATCAACTCGAAGATCAAAGATTCAATGGTGGATTGGTGATGATGATGAACAGAGATAGAGATTGAAGAAGATATTTGTTTATGTTTTTTTGTTTGATTATCTTTTCCAAAAGGGGAAAAGATCAGTACACACACTATTAAACCGGATATAACCAAGTTACTGAACCAACGATAACCATATGAAATCCTGTAACAATACTACCTCGTCGACAACATCCTTGTCCTCAAGGATGAAAAGCTTGATACGTGGCGATGACTCTTCTTCGTAAAATCTTCATCTGGAGGATGCTCTTTCCAATGAACAAAGGCTTTGGTAACAGATTTATCAAGGGTGGGTTCATAGAGATAACCAAGTGACGTGATGTGGAAAGCAACACCTCTGAACTCCATGACATCTCCATCGAAAGACAATATCACCAGAATGTGATTTGCAAGTATAAGCAGTAGAGATAACTTCTCCATTCGTTGGAATTCAGTCAAAACAGAGAGCTTGACTTGACCAAGAGGGCGTAGGCGTGACTGCGTAATAATTGCATCAACCACAGTGACATTTAAGCCATCGAGTAGATCAAATGTAGGGACCAACCAACGATGTTCCCATAACAGCCTCTCATCTTTGAGAATGATCCTTATAAATAACCATGAGTTCTCCTCATTCACTCTCAAAGACATCTTTCTACTCCATAGTAGCTTGTACTTAAACCACCAATTCTTGCCAAGCTTACTCTTCCTTGAAGCTTTAACCTGTAAGAATAAAAGCTTCCATGTTCTTGTTTAATCTGCCAAGACACAACTTGCAAAGACCACTGCTCCAACATAGTTACGAAGCTGTTTCTACATACTTCCGGTGGCCTTGGAGACTGGAATATTTCATAAGTGAGGACTGAAGTTAAAGGATCCTTGAAATGCTCTATTATGAGGTTGACAACCTTAGTTCCTATAAGAATGTCCCTGCCAACATGAGACTGGTTTGTGCCTTGCATTTTAGCTGTCGTCTTAGGTATAGTAGCACAAGTATCCAGATGTTTTGAGGCCAAACTCGGATTTTTGTAAGAGTAACAAATAAAAAACGATTCATGACTTGTCTGCATCTTCTGGCCATCAATTAGCAGCTCCTCACCATGTTCTTGACATCCCGCAAAAATCATTTCCAGCAGAACACAACCGTTGTAAACTGGTTCTCTTGAGCTGAAAATCTTCTTTAACCATGAAGAATCCTTAACCCCTAGATTCTGCTTAATATATTCTAACCACATCTTTCCTTTTCTACGAGCATATCTAGCGTTTAAAATCCTCCATATCTTAACAACTTCACCAAGTGAAAATGTTCCAGAACTGAGATAACCAACTTCAGGTAGGATTAAGCTTGTAGAGGCAACATCGCAAGCCGGGTTCTGCCTAAATTGTCCAAGATAAACCAGAATATAAAGCTTCTTTTTCTCATATTGATTAACTTCAAAGTCTTTCTCAAGCATGGTCACATTTATAAAGAGATAAATGGTTGATGGTACCTTCATCTCTTTCCATGGATGCACAAATTCCGAATTAGATCGGTTGTTCTCGGGGACAAGAGGCTGTTCATCTTTAAACCTGAATCTCCAAGACTTCGGCCACTTCTGCTTCTTCTTTCTAGTGCTTAGCAATGTTACATGTTCCACCGTTGAATTTGCATTCAAAGAATCTTCAACCAATGAGATATCACTTGGAAAGTTCACTGCATAATCCAAAACATTCTCAAAAATCAGAGTAGTGTCTGTAGCTTTGGTTGGTGATTTATCCATTGATTCCTTGACAGCTTCTGCAACAGTAAGTTCTACGAACGAAAGTTCTAAACCCTGAGAACTGAATAGCAACATGTGAATCTTAAACTCACAAGAGTATAATTCCAGCCACGTTTTTATGTCAACAAAAGAACGCATATCCAACATGTCGAGCTCTCTAATCATATTCCACTTGTTATATTCATACAATACTCCACCAGGTTTCCACACATGGTTAGCTTGTTCACAACGACCTATCACCTGAGAGTATAGAGACGCTTCAATCTGATGTGATTCTCGTTCTGGCCTCAGTTCCTTGACTGGAGTAGGATTGTATTCCTTATCCTCATGAAGAGCAATATGATTCTCAGTCTCTGTCCCAAGAAGCTTCGTGGTTAGCTCCAACATGTCATCATGAGTATGAAATTTCTCTAACCAAACCCAATGATCAAGTTTATCTAGTAAACCACCTGGCTCTCATACACGATCAGCCTTGGTTGATGATTTTATAAACGTTACTGAATCCTCCTGATATCTTTCTGGTAATAAGAAATCAATGCGACATCTGGATTTTGCAGAAACCTTTTCCGAGTTCTTGCCCTCCAAGTGTTCGAGGTTTTGCCTGAGAGGGAAATTAAGCTTTTCTTCTGCTACGATTTTGACGCGATCTTCTTCTTGGTCCAAATCAGCGGAATCCTGCAAAATTGAAACACATTCTAATGGTCCTACCAATTCGTGATCGTCCGAAGGTTGATCACCATCGCAATCTACAATTAAAATCTGCCATCCTTTGTGCTTCAACTCTTGATGCCCAGAGGTATCAAGTTCTTCACAAAAGATACACAATCCATTCTCCATTCTCTCATAGATCTCGTCGCATGAATATTTCAGATGACGGAGCTTGCTCGATTTCATGATTCTGGTTCGGAGAAGGAATGCTCTGATACCAATGTAACGGGAAAGCTAAGATAGGATAAATCCCACTTTAGAAACTCACCGAGAGTTCGAAGATAGGGTAAATTAATGTCTAGAAGTTGATCGTATAACCAGAAAGACCAACTCGAAGATCAAAGATTCAATGGTGGATTGATGATGATGATGAACAGAGATAGAGATTGAAGAAGATATTTGTTTATGTTTTTTTGTTTGATTATCTTTTCCAAAAGGGGAAAAGATCAGTACACACACTATTAAACCGGATATAACCAAGTTACTGAACCAACGATAACCATATGAAATCCTGTAACAGGTAGATTCAAAGATGGAGCCCATACCTGCTGTTGATGTGTCATCTCTCCATGCTCCATCTGTGTAGCATATGACGGATTCACCAGGGAAATCTAGTTTCCAATTGCGTCGTTGTGAAGGTAATATCGCTTGCTTAGCGGATTGTGCCCATTGCCATTCTCTTTCTCTTTTGATTGAGTTTATGGTTGTTTTTTCTGCAGAGAAGTTTCTCCCATTGAAGATCCTGTTGTTCCGGGTTGTCCATATATTCCAGAAAATCCATGGAAATATAGGACTATTGGCAATTCCTAATGGAGGTAGGCAAATCGTTGTTTTGAGTACTTTGAAGCCTGATTTGATATCGGGGAAGCAGATTGGATCAATTGTTTCTTTGTATGGTGCCAGCTTCCACACATCTTGAGCGAAATTGCATTGGTATAGTAAGTGAATTGCAGTTTCAGGTTCTCCGCATCTAGAACACCTCGAGTGCGGGATTATTCTTCGAGTGACAAGATTTTCTTCCACAGGTAAGGCTCCCTGCATAATCTTCCATAGAAAGAGCTTTATTTTCTGAGAGAACTTCCCCTCCCAAATTTCAGTCTGCCAGTTGAAATCTCGGTTTAATTATGTAGGGGTGAGTGGATTGTGAGCTTCTGAGTAAGTCGTGTGATATCATATTTTTGTTGTGTACTCTCCTGATGCTTGAGGGATCCATACATGTTTATCTGCAGCTTCAAACATACTCAGGCTTTATGCATAAGATCTCCTTCTCATAAGCAGGTAAGAGATCCCTAACTCGTTGTACATGCT